TGAAATTGCTCTTTAGTATTCATGGTTTACCAGTTTTTAGAACCTAGAACTGGAAGATTATATTCTGCCTATGACCAAAAAATTGTGTCAGTATCATAAGCTTATAATGGAAGCTAGTAGTGGGCAGCGGTTTGGAACAGCCACAGACTTATTCTATGTTTCTGTAAATTATTTTCTACTATCTATAATTGTAAGAGTGGGCATTCTATATTGCTTTGGTTGGGTGTGTAATACAGCAGCATTGGTGGGAGCTGACAGAGAAGCAGCTTTTACTGCAGGTCTTGATGTGTATGTGGTTGTTCATAAAGAGCCGTTCTCAAGGGCCTCAGGTCAGTGATAGTACTTAACTCCAGGTTGAATTTTTATAGCCAAATTCTTAGGAAATTGTCTCTGTTATCTGAGTTACCCAAATGCAAATTTACATTGAATAATTCTTCATTTAAGGATTTGTTTGCATTTGTTCAATATCACAGAGACTTTTTGGGGAAAATTAATTTTTATGACAGTTTTTTCTATGGACTAGAAATTGTGATAAGTGTTTGAATTAAGAAAATGTGTTGCTGCATAGGTGAGGTAGTATCTGAAGCACTCAAAAAAGTTCATGTCAGTGTTTTGGTTCATTTGATTATTTTCTTTTCTTCTTTTTGTTTCATTTTTCTCTTTTCTTTTTTGCTTTGTTTCATTTTGGTTCTTTTATTACTTTTTTTATTTTAGCTTTTAAAGGGGTGTCTGTGGCCTTGCTGCATACTTGGCTGGCCATATTTAGTCTGCACACTAATTGTTAGTTTGCCCAATTGAATCTTACTTTATGCTGTTAGTTCTTTTTTGATATGATTTTCTATTTTTGTCCACCTGGTTGTGTTAGATTTTTATTCTCATGGACTGGGTTTTAATCCCATGCACTAAATTTTAGTCTGCAGACTAAAAGTAATCCGCGGATTATTTATTTTTTGCAAAATGTTTAATTCCCCCACTGGAAACTATCCTAAAAGAATGTTACATTCTCCTGGCTTAGTCAAGGGAGTCCACAGCTACTGGTGAGTTCTGCCAATTTTGTGTTCTCAATACCTAGACACAATAGACCCTGCTCCCTCCCTGCATACGTGGCTCCGTTTTGCCTAGGTGTTGGTGTACATTATTCTGCATGTCACCTGTAACTGTGACTGTCCCTTAGTTGTTTTGTTTATTGTATAAATTTTTGTTTAGCTTTTGGTGGGTGAATTGGGCATATTTGCAGGTGAAGTTGTATTGAATTTGTATTACTCAAAGATAAAGGATTTTTTTTCAGTGAGTTTTTGTAAAAAGGAAAGAATGCTCTCTATATTTTTCCTAAGGCATGGGTGCAAGGGTATGAGGGGGCAAAGCCCATAGTAGAAAAAAGTAAGTTTACACCTGCACTCCTGAGGTGATATGTCAGTTTCCTGAAGAGTCCTAATAAACTGAGACTATCAGTAAAAATACCTTCTAGCAGGGAAGTCAATCCAAAACAGGAGAATAATCCGCGGTGGCCTGATTCTTTCTTAGCTCACACAAATTAAAAGTATCTGGCTTCAAATTTATAGTAATGTAAATTAAATAAACTTAATACTTCTCTCTCATGACCAATAATTTATCAAAAAAATGTTTATACTGTATAACTGAAAAAAAAATAATTGTGAAATTCTAGCATATTGGGAACATCCATTTTTAAAAGCAGGCCAATATGCCCCCTTCCAGCCATGTCTACGGATGATAAATCCAGGTCATAGAAGACCTCTTTACTTTACTTCTAGATTTCATTTTGATTTTAACTTATTTTGGTTTTATATTTTTTTGATAAACACACTGGCATTGGAACATGATAAACTAAAACAGAAATGTTTCTTTACTGTGCCTCACCATTGCACAAATCAAAGCAAATTTTTGCATACACTTGTGGTGAAATAATTTTTAAAATTTGGACTTACTACTGTGGAGACGAATGCTTAAAGTTGATAACTGTATAAACATTTTCTATGTCCCCGACACCATGGATTTCTTATAACATTGGCTATATTTTTCCTTGCTGGACTATTCTCTTTTGCATTGACTTCCCCTGTTTGGACTATTTCACTGCATTATCACCTTTAGGACTCGTCAGGAACAGGACATTTCACCCCAGGAGTACGGGTATGTACTTTTTTTTTTTTTTTTAAACTTTAGGGCAGTTTTATATCACTAGGGAAAATGTTTCTTGGAAAGGCTGAGCAGCTGTTCCTTTCTGAACTGTGCTGATGAACACACTGGGAAGATGGTTTCTGTGTTTGTGGTTTTGGTATAGTTCATATAGTCATTAGCATATCAGTATATTAACATCTGGATTGAGAGAATTTCAGTTATTCTTAGATACAACCAAAGATTCTCTGTTATTTCAGTAAAGAATGATGTAGAAGTAGAAACTTGACTAGAAACTGTATTTCAGTAGCTGTTGGTTCCCTTTGCTTTAGAAGAACTAGTGTCTAGTTGAGACTATTCATTTTGGAAGTTGCATGCTATCATACCCCTTATTATGGTCAGAAATCTGAATTCTGAGAGATACTAGGTTTTGATTCACGTAATTTCCCACTTTATCCATAAGGTACTGAACTAAAGCTTTTCTCATGAGGAATCTCGTGAAAAGTCAAAGTAAAGAATACTTTTTTTAAAGGCAGGTTACTATTCTAATAAAGACTTTTGGCATAGGTTATTTTTTAACCCTCTATTTCCTCAAGTTAGGATTTCTTCACAAAATATGTGCTTTAGTACCCAGATGATAGGTGGTCACTTGTAGCCAGCAGAATACCAAAAATGATACAGGAAATGGATTCTTTTAAATAGTCCAAAATATAACCAGAACTCTAATTTATTAAGACTTTCAACAGAAAACTTTTCATTAATATAGCACGATTTAGTATGCTTGTTTTCTTTTTGCTTATTTGTGGTTGTTTTGTTTTTTCAAAACATGTTTTGTTTGTTGGTTTGTTTTTCTGTGTAGCCCTGGCTGTCCTAGAACTCTCTGTATAGACCATGTTGCCCTCAAACTCACAGAGATGTGCCCGCCCCTGCCCTCCAAGTGCTGGAATCAAAGATGTGTGCCACCACAACTCAGTTGCTTGTTTGTATTTTGAGACAGAGCTTCACAATGTGCCCTGCTGGCCTCAGATTCACTGCATAATCCAGGCTGGTCTCAAACTGACAGATAATCCCCTGTCTTTGCCTCCCAGGTCACAATGCCCAGTTAAGCATGAACTTTTAGATTTCAAAGAACCTAATATTTGTGTCTCCTGATCTTAAATTTTAGCAAGAGTTATTTTTGCATTCAAGTGCTGTCTAATTCTATTCACCTAATATCATATTGGTGGCAAGACATTTTGCATTAGCTAGCAAGTAAATCTATATATTGTCAAGTAGATACAAACTACCAGTGATTTTTGTATTTTTCTTGTTATTTGGAATCAGGGTCTTACTATGTAGCTCAGACTATCCTACAACTCACTATGTAGACCAGACTAGCCCTGAACTCACAAAGAACCACCTAGCTAATTTCAGTATTTTTATGACAATTTTTACTGTTTTTCTTTTTTGCATTTTGGATTTGATTGGCACTTGGAAATAAGGGAGAGAAGGTGGTGACTAAAAATGGTGGAGAAATGAAACCTTTAAATTGTATAGCAGCTTTGAGATTCCCTTGGCCAAGGCAAGTTACAGTACTCAAAAACATAAAGACAAGGCAGTTTTGAATTTGCATAGGGCTCTCTAAAATGGCCAATTGACCAAGCCATCAAAATTGATTAAGCCTTAGAGTTCTAAATTAACCAAACCTCAAAATAAATTCTTAAGATCCTATGCAAGGTACTTTGTCAATTTCTGTGGAAAATAATGTATTTCTATAATAAACTGAATTTTTTAAAGGGGAAAGAAAACAACCCCTGCAGTTACCACTAGTATTTAGAAAGTGCTCAAGTCCTTGACTATTAATGAGCCCTGTGGTGACAAGCTCTCCTGTCTTCAGCCCAAGTGATGTGAGCCACTCTCCTTAGGGAGCCTTCACCTCCCAGGGCCCTGGTACTGTTTTGTCCGACCTCACCAAACCTGCCTTTGCTTTGCTCACGTATGCTTTCTATAAAGGAATCTGTTTTATTTTTCTTTTCATTTCAAAGGTTCTGTGTTCCATTTGTTCATGCTTAAGTTTTCCCCTCTGTTCTTTACCTTTGACTAGCTGTCATTTAGAATAAAGTCTGTGTTCATCGTTATATATACTGATTCATTTTAAGACACAGAGGGTGTAAAGCTGTCTATTCTTTTAAGCAAATCAGTTAATTAGTATTGCTTCATTATAGTCTTCAGTTGACCTTTCTGTAAATTATCGGCTCTTTCTGAAAACATTTAAAACTCTAGATTATTATTCATTGAAAGAAATTCAAGTGACAATGATCTGTCCAACTGTTCAAGAGCCCAATGCCAGACATTTGAGAAACTCTAGGTATTCCAGAAACTTTGAATAAGGCTCTATGTGTTAAGAAGATAATACCAAACCATTAGTGTTTTTACAATTAAAACAACAGCTGTTCTTTTTTTAAAAAAAAATATACTTTTCTTAAAACTACTGACTGAAGTATCTAATAAATACTTATTTAAAAAATAAGATTTGAAGAGTGCCATCCATTGTCAAAAAACAATTGTTCCATCAAAAAGAGTACCAGAGGCCACAGCAGTAAAAACTTTAAGTTAAAAAATAAATTCTTATAGTTGTGCTTGCCTCAGATTTCAGCTTTTCTATGTCTACAGTAGTTTATGGTCGTGAGTAAGAGGTAGGGTATTCCCCGAGTTTTTCTTGGATAGTTTTTTATTAGCAAATGGTTCATGACGTGCAGTTAACTCTTAATTCTAGATTTTATAGCCATGTTTTTATATAATGGGAATTAACTCAGTACTCAAAGGATTTTTTGACTAGGTTCTTATAAGAGAACTTAATTGTTCTTTCTACTTCTTTGTCCTTTCAGGTCTTCCGGCCCCGAACTCCACCAGAGGCAATTGCACTGTGTAGCCGTCTACTGGAATACACACCAACCGCCCGACTGACACCACTGGAAGCTTGTGCACATTCGTTTTTTGATGAATTACGGGACCCAAATGTAAAACTACCAAATGGGCGAGACACACCTGCACTCTTCAACTTTACCACTCAAGGTGATTCCAGACACTTCGTTTTTATCTGTTTCTGGGTGTGGTCATTTGAATGACATGTCCGCCATAAGTCTCCAGCATTGGAATATTTGGGCCCTAGTTGGTAGCTGTTTGGGAGAGGATTAAGAGGTGCTGGAGAAGTAGGTCACTGGGAGTGGCCTTTGAGGTTTCATTCCCAGTGTGCTGTCTGCTTCTTGTTTGTTTGCTGAGCTGTGCTGCTCCAACTGCCTGCCACCCCCCATCTACTCTCATGGACTCTAATTAAGTCCAAAACAAACTCTTTTTTTACCTCATAACTTGCTGTGGTTATGATATGTTTTCACAGCAGTAGAACAGTAACTAGAATACTCGATAATGGATGTGAGATGACACTTAGTGATTAGCTGTAGGTGACAGTGATCATACTGAGTACTTGCGGAAGTAAGAAATGTCTGTAATTTATTATACCAGTCTTTGTGTGTTTGAACAGAGGAGTGACAGATAAAAGTTTGCAAACAGTTGTAGTTTGACCATTTTTTACCAGATTGTACTAAATTTGGTCATGTGACAAAAATGCAAGGAGATTTCAGTGAGTTAGTGTATTACCAATAAGACTAAGCAATAGTGTAACCTTAGATTTGAATAAAAAAAAAAGTAGACTAATAGTATTTCCCAAGCATATAAAACAGGTTTTTAAACTTTAGGAATTAATTTTGCCTGTTGTCATAGTTCTATTGCTTTGTAGAGACACTACGACCATGGAAACCTCATAAAACAAAGCACTTAATTGGGACTTACAGCCTTAGAGATTTAGTCCATTATCATCATGGTGGGGAGTATGGTGGTTTGCAGGCAGACCTGTTGCTGGTGAACAACCTGAGAGCTTTACATTCTGATCTTCAGGTAGCAGGAAGAGAGAGACACTGGGCCTGGGTTGAGCTTCTGAAACCTCAAAATGACACGTGTACGCCAACAAGACCACACCTGCTTGTCCTTCTCAAGTAGTGCCTCTCCTTGATGACTAAACATTGAAATATATTAGCCTGTGGGAGCCGTTCTCACTCATCCACACCTGCATGTCTGTAGACATTGCTGCTGAGTAAACACTAAAAGGAAGCTGAGTTCACTTGTTCGTTGGTGGTTCCTGAGAAATCTAAAGCTTCCCATCATCTATCTGCCTGTCATTGTAGTGTTCACTTCCTCCTCATCAAGACTTCTGGGCAGTCTTCCTTTTGTTAACTCACCTCCTCTAATGGTATCTTCCTCCCCAAACTAAACAACAAGTTTGTAATTCCCTATCAATAAAACAAGAAGAGGAAGTAATTTGTATCTTGACTGACTGAGTGGTAAGGATTAGGCAGGCTAGGAAATGCATCAGGGAGATGGGGATCCTTCTGAGATCAAAAGGTATTTCTTTTATTGAATGTGGAGGGTACATTTTAAAACTACTGCCAACACTGCTACAAATTCCTTTTTCCAGGCTCTATAATTCAAGTGTTTCTCTGAATACTCTATCCTCCCACTCGTTACTGTTCTGCTTAACATGGAGTGATAAGGATCCCAAACACATCAGAGTTCCAGATCAGCTTTAAAGAGTTACCAGTCTCTGGACATGTAAATATGCTTTTAAATGTGACTCAAGACGCCCTCAGCATACATGGTAGTCACATAATGTTGACACTTGTAGTCTAAGCCATACAGGCCATTACTCAAATCTTACATGTTTATTTCATGCATTCCTCCACATTCAGTTTAGAATAATCTAAATACAGAGGGTAAAATGTTCATCTTCCAATGAAGGAAATGTCTCTATCTTGATCACAGAAGGTTCCCCATCTCCTTAGTAATCATATAAAGGATAGTCATATAAAGAGAAGAATAAATATATGTTCTTTCTCCAGATTACAGGGTTGAAAATGATAGCAGAAAATTAGAGCAACTGTACACAAAGACTGAATCAAGTTGCAAGTGAATCCGTGAGAGTCCAGCTAGCTCAGGAGCGAGTTGTTTCTCTATGAGCAGCCCCTGTGGCTGAAGTGTCAGGGAAGACTGCATAACTTCAGGTCAGCGATAGGGAGGGCAGCTGTGGCTTGACAGAGGGTTAAACGAGGATGCTAACTGACCTCTTTCTCAGTCCTCTTGACAAAGAAAATTGGTTTTTACTACTTATTGCTTTGGTTTTCACCAATAGCAATGCACGTAAAGAAAATGCTGGAAACAGAAAAAATGCAGAGAAAACTGAAGGCACAGCTCTTGCTGATTAGTTACTTTGGCTAATAATCATTTTGTTACATACTGCAGTGTAGTTCTCAAGATTTCTAATACATTGATAATCCATGATAAATACTTTTGTAATTAAAAATAAACTAATTAGCAAAACCCCTGGTCAGATGTGTGACAAATACATATAGAAGTATTGATTAATCCTTAGACAGGTAAATATGAAAGGGCAATTCTCATTGTTTCCAGACATATTTAGCACGTATTCTTCACTATGTGTAAATACAAATGTGTGAGTGAGTGTGTGTGTGTATATGTAAGTAAAGTGAAATACCACTTAAACGTCTTATTTAATTAGATTCCAGAATCCATACTTACGTTTACATTGTTCTCCTGTGCTGTTTTGAAGTAATTCATTTGATTATTAACTCACCAGTGAGAACCTTCTATTACTACTAATGAAATAAAAATTTAAAGTTACCAATTCACCAAATCCCTGAGGGTTTTTTTTTTTTAAAGCAAACATTTGGGGGCTGGAGAGATGGTCAGCAGTTGGGAACACTGGCTGCTCTTCTTGAGGTCCTGAGTTCAATTCCCAGCAACCACATGGCAGCGCACTACCATCTTTAATGGGATATGATGCCCTCTTCTGGCATGCGGGCATACATGCAAATAGCACTCATACATAAATAAAAATGAATGAATAAATGAATGAATGAAAAGAAACAAATAACTTTTAAGGGGCAAGCAATATAGTGTTGATTATATATTCCTCATGCTGTGCATCTGACACCTTTATCAGCTTCCAAAACATTTTCTTTGCTCCTGAAGAAAATCATGTCCTCATTAGCATGAACTCCCCATTAGTCCGTCAGCAGCCCTCAGCAGCAGTCAATTTGCTTTTTTGTCTCCATGGATTTACCTTTTTGGGAACCTCATACTATACTGTGTGATGCTAAGTATCTTATTTCTTCACTTAACCTATTTTCATCCTTAGAGCGTTATTATCCTTCACTCTTTCTTGTATGGCTGCATCCTATGTTTTACTTAGGCATTCATCTGTGATGGACTCTTGGGTACTGTTGTAACAGTTTATATGTAAACTTTTATTTGAGTACTTGAGGCACTACTCGGCCACATGATAATTCTGTTTATAGAAACTAGCACACAATCTCCACAGCTGAACATCTTTTTTCCATACTGGCAGGGTAGAGGAGTTTTAATTCCTCTACAGGTGTGTTTTTGTTTTCGTAATGGGTGTGAGACGGTATATTACCCTGTTTATCACACTGTAACGATCAAAGTTCAATAAATGCTATCACCTATTTGCAGTGTTCCTCGTGTTTAGGGACTTGGACCTGACTAGGGTGTTGAGGGAATGAAGAAAAGGGAGACAGACAGATGGACACATGGAGCGAATCTGGAATCAGGTGATCTGGGCTCTTGGCTGGAGTGATCTCAGCACTCTGGAAACTCAGGATGTTTGTTATATAGAGGTAAACAGAGAGCCAGGGTATTGCATGCAGTTGAAAAAGGAGGTGGGGTTATTACATACAGATATAATAAGGTGGTACAGTTCTTGATACACAGCTGCATCAAGCAGACAGGTTTAGCTTGTTAAAGCAGTCTGTAGGAGAACAATGGGGGAGAAAACACTGGTGGGCATTTTCTGCACACAGTATCAATATCCACACATAGACCACAAGGGAAAGTTTGCCTTTTTCCTGTGAGCCTCATCCTGAGGTGAAGTGAGGATACTTTGTCATTCTTCCATGGGTCTGAGGCTCTGGGATTCTTGACATGGCCAGTTTATGTCAACAACACATTCTAAGCTTCCTCCATTCCTTGTATCTGTTCTCTTATAAAATTGCAGCCATAAACATGAAGGAAATTGCTTTGTGCTTTAGAATGTGGCCTTGAAAATACTGAAGGACTTTGATGACTAGGTCAGTTTTCTATACCATTAGCTAGGCAGTTTCTGAACTTGGGCTGAGAATAAAGGTCTACTGGTAAAGTGCTTGACATACACGAATGAGGACAGAGTTGGTCTCCAGGACCCACAGAAATCAAACTAGTGGTGCACACTTTAATCCCAAGGTGGAATGGCACCCATGATTTTCCTGTCTTCCACATATGCATGTGTGAGGACACACGCACATACACACACACACACACACTCATGCATGAGCGTGCACGTTAAAAACATGTTCATATGCAACTGCACACACACAGGAATCCCGCAGTTTGTCATTATGCTTAGCTTTCGTACATGTCTTTTAAAACAAACTCTGTCTCAAGAATACTCATATAATATAGTTCAAGCTTTAACCATAACATCTAATCACATTTTTAAAGAAATGAATATTTTTATATTGAAAACTGTTTTACTTGCTCTGTATCAAATATAAACAGTATTCTACATGATCTGAGTATGAATATGCTTTTCAGGGTTTGAAGAATACATGTCCTAGTTGCTGGTCTGACTTACAACTCCAGGAAGGTCGTCACTGCAGGGAGAGGGCGGGGCGTCAGGAACTTGAAGCATCTAGTCATATCCACAGTCTGGAGCAGAAAGTGATTGCAACTGCCTAGTCAGTTCCACCCTGATATAGTCTAGGACCCAAACCCAGAGAATGGTACCACACACTATAGACTGGGTCTACCAAAATCAGATTACATAATTAAAATTCCTCACCGGTGGGGCCACAGTTCTGTCTCAGCTAGACTGTCTCTCATCAAGAATCTCTTCTCAACTCTAGATCATATCAAGTTGACAGTTAAAACTGAACATTATACATGTATATTTGGATACAGTGTGGATAGATCAACAGTAGCAGTCTTTTGTGATTCTGTGACTATCAGAGAAAACTATACATAAGCCTTTGTATCTGTCCATTCAAGTATACTCACTTCTCATCAGACTGAATGTGTTAAGATGCTCGTGTGTGTGTGTGTGTGTGTGTACACATATGTATATGTATGTATGCAGTAGTGTAAGTGAACTTTAAATGCAGACTTCATAAGAGTAATTAGTAATTAATGGACGATCAGAATAGAACCGTGTAATTCAAGAGGTTGAAGAATGAGACATAATCCTCCACTTGGTTGCATACTAAAGAGCATCCAGATAGCAGCTGTCAGGTGAAGGAATTGTGAATGGACAGCTAGGTTCCTTCGTCTAGGTAAGCTGAGTGTGCTCTGAAAAGAGAAAGTACACAAAGGGAAATGGGCAGCATGGGCTGTGAGGAAAGCAGCTCAAGATACCCCCAGCTTCACAGTAGTTTTGCCACACACTTCATGCTCTCTATTCCTTACTCGTCCTTTCCTCTTACAGGTTCTTCTCGATGTTGAACATCTGGGAACTTTAATTTGAAAGTGCTGTCATCCTAATAGATTGAGTCCTTTTCTGAACTGCCTTTTTGTTTATTTGACCATTTCTATTTTCTTTTTATTTTGTTTTATTTCCGAGGAGGGTTTCTCTCTGTAGCCCTGGCTGTCCTAGCACTCCCTCTGTACACCAGGCTGGCTTTGAACTCACAGAGATCCGCCTGCCTCTACCTCCCAAGTGCTGAGATTAAAGGTGTGCGCCACCACCACCCAGCTGACCGTTTCTATATTCTGTTGATCCAACAAAGACAGTTACCTCTTATCTCTCCACCCTGAGACCTAGCATACTGTTTCATGTCCAGTATTACAGGATGGAAGGGAACATAGATGAACAGTTTGGGTTTTATTAGCTTTCTATTTTGGGAGATTTTACTTAGGATAGCAAGTTTAAATTTCTTTTAGGTTAATGGGGCATAACTACCACATACTGCATTAATCAGCCATACCAGATTCCGTTGCTGGCCCAGTTAGGGTTTTGTTAAACTGTCTGGCTTCAAGGGAACAGTGTAGCATCTTCTTGTTCCTCAGTGGGAGTTACACGTACCTCTTGCACCCTAATTAGGGCACAGCTTTTTGCCAAGCTTGTAAATGTTCTCACTTACTGAAAAATGAATCTTCTTTCTGCCTTTTAAGCCTTTCTCTCCCACTAATTTTTCACAAATCTTGTTACCAGTTTATTGCTTTTCTTAGTTAGAATATAATCTTACTTAGAATCTTAATATAGCACAAAATTAGTATTTAGTTGCCAGTCTATGAATAAGTCACTTTTGGCCAAAAGGTTTTGGCTCTCAAACCTTTTAAAACTGTTATGACAAAACACAGCTTTCTAGCAGCTTGAAGAAAGAGATTAATAAGAATCAAAAGGAAGCCTCAAACTACTTTATGGGTTTAGGGTTTCCCTTATTCCTCAACTTTTCATAATGCCATATATTTAAATTGTCAAGATGCATACTGTAGCTGAGAGGATAATGTCTTTCTGTAGGTAGCATGAGCACAGGGTTCACAGATTACACGCTAGAGTACCAGCATGACAGGAAGGACAGTCACTCTTGACACTAATGCCAGTTGTACATACGAGCTCACCAGCGCTCTTTACCATGCGTAGCGTTAATATCATCAGCTTCAGTTTATCTTAAACCAAGACGTAATAGAAATTAGTTTTTCAAAAGAAGATAATTTCTATAACATTGGCAGAAATAACCACTTTTAGGTTAAAAAAATAATTCGAACTTTTCAGCAATAATCATTTAAGGAATGTTTTGAAATAAGGTGAAAATGATTTTATTTTTAGTAATCCTTTTTGAGTCCCTTTCTTGACTGCCTCTTTGTTCATTTGACCATTTCTGTTTGCTGTTGTCTCAAGTTCTGCTCTCGACCACTTACAGCCACATGCTGCAGAGTGGCGGGGTGACTGATGGCTGTTACATACTCGCTTACTCTGAAACTTTTCACCGCTGCCTTTACCAAAGATAAATTTAGTTCTTAAACATCAGTTTTGTGTCTCACGACTGCTCATCCTCTCTAACTTGCTGACTGCTTCACTGGGGCACTTCATAAGCTGGTATTTCCTACCGTGACTTATTTTTACTATACGGGAGTTCCGTGTAGAGGATGGGATTAAACTCTAACCTTTGTTTCCATTTCTCTAGAACTGTCAAGTAACCCACCTCTGGCCACCATCCTTATTCCTCCCCACGCTCGGATTCAAGCAGCTGCTTCCACCCCTACGAACGCCACTGCAGCCTCAGGTGAGTATAGCGGTCCCTGTGTTTTGTTCTTCTCACACGCTGAGTTGTCTTCATTTCCTGTGGTGAGTATGAACATTTAATTCCCCTTGCATATCTAAACAGATCAGTCACACGAGTGAAAGAAAATAAAATACTGCTTTCCACCTAAAACATTCGAAGAAGCATCCCACACACAGTGTGAACACATACATAATGCATTTTACATATAAGGTACATGTTGAAATAGGAAGCGGCGGGGCTGCGTCCCCAACACCCCGGCCGCTTGGCTAGCTCATGCCCGAAATAACAACACACAAACTGTATTCATTTAAGAACTGCTTGACCCATGAACTCTAGCCCTTACAGGCTAATTCTCGCACCTGGACTAGCCCATTTCTAATGATGCGTGTAAGCACCCCAAGGTGCGCTTACCAGGAAGATTCTAGCCTAAGTCCATTGTGGGAGAGTTGAGCTTGGTGTCTCTGCTCCAGCAGAGCTGTCGGGTCTCTCCGGGAGCAGAGCAGAGTCTGACCTCACTTCCTTCCGCCCAGCATCCTATTCTGTTTATTCCACCCACCTATGTTCTAACCTATCAGGGCCAGCCAAGCAGTTTCTTTATTGCTCAGCCAATGAAATCAACAGATTGATATGACACTCCCATATCAGGTACATCCTGATTTCTTAGTGTAAGATGTTTAAAGGAGAAAACAGGTTTTATAAATGGAGCTTTGTGAGGAATGCTCCACTTTAGTTCTAACTTCTTCATGTCAATTACATTAACACCCTAAATAGGCAAGTTTTAAGAAGTATGGATATAAGTTAATATAATCTTAAATCATTGAAGGGGCTAAAAGTACAATGAAAATACATTTAATTTTACATCAGAATGTGATTAAACTATCACCCTCCTCACTCCCCCCACCCCACCTCAGAAAAACAAATAAAAACTCATAAAGATCCCCCAAGTTATAGCTAGATCATAGAATGTGTTTCTGATTCCTGAGTCAGCTAGCTTGGAACTTGGGAAACATTAGTACACCAAGTGTCAGGAGCTACCCTTTGCCACATTATCAATTACATAGAACTGAAACATTTGGCTTTGAGGTTGTTTCTGCGTCGGGAGATGAGATATTTCGTTTGCTGACAAGTCTGTGATGAGTAGTTAGCTTTCAGCTCACAGGAAAGGAAGAGTTCTGCTTCTATCCGGTGTAAATCTTTAAAAGATTGAGCGTTCCATTCTACTCTGTCCTGCCTTCCTTCAGCTTGTGGAACTTGGAGAAAGGCATTTGAACTTCATACTTATACTATGAGTATGTCGGGCTGCAAACTGAACAGCAGTGCTCTCCTAGAGTGATATTGTTGAAATCGTGTTCTGCCAAAATGTGGTTTAAAATTCTTTAGTGTAAAAATACAATTTTAGCAGGTCATGGTAGTGCATTCTGAAATCTCAGCACTCCTGAGGCAGAGGCAGGCAGCTCTCAGAGATTTGAAGCCAACCTCATCTACATTGCAAGTTTTAGGCCAGCCAAAGATATATAGTGAGACTCTTTCCCAAATAGAAAAGAAACACAGTGGTGTTTTGTTTTTTGGTTTATTTTTTTAGTTCTGTTGCCTGATTGTTTAAAATAAAGACAGAGTGGTTAACTGAACTATCAATAAACGTATTGCTTCACTAAGCACGTGTATCAGGTTGGCCATTGACCATGTGGAGTAAACCCAAGCGCTGTGCTGATGTATCTACTCACTGAGCTTGTGTCCTGGAGGATGAGTAGAGCTGCTTTAAACCAAACATGTCTAATCTGTACCATGAAGGCTACAGGCAACCCCAGGATAAATAACTAGGGTATGGCTCGGCACATTGATAGATAATAACTTTAGGGTATATGTAAAAATGAGAGAATTGTGGGCTAGAAAGATAATTCAGCATGTAAAGGTACTTGCCACCAAGCCTGATGACCTCAGTTCAATTCTAGGAACTTCTAGGTGGAAGGAAAGAACTGCCTCATATGGGCTCTCCTCTGACACCAACACCATGGCATAAATGTGAACACACAAATACAAATAAACGATAACTAGTAGAGAGTAGAAATTTTTAAATAAATTTTAAAAATTTATATTTTTCTGTGAGTGTTTTTGCTTGCATGTAGGTCTGTACATCATGTGTATGCCTGATACCCAAAGGCCAGAAGAAGGTATTGGATCCCTTGTAACTGGAATTATGAATAGTTGTGAGTTGCCATGTGGATGCTAGGAATGGAACCCAGGTCCTCTTCAAGAATAAGTACCCTTATCCACTGAGCCGTCTCTCCTGCTTCTAAAATAATTTTCTTAATGTGAGATACTAAAATAATTAATTAAGGATGTTTGTAACTCAGGCTGTAGAATATACTGTATTCTTAGAAAGGAGCCTGTTGTAACCTGTTGGTACAGGTTATAATAATTTGCAAAATATATTGCAGTATTATACATGGTTTTTATAGCTGTAAAAGAAAACTGAAAAGCTGGTATTGGATTGTGACCCTGAGAGTTTATGGCCAAGCTGAAGTAACTTAGAACATGAAGAAGTTCGTAGAAGAACAGTTACTAAAGTCAGGGTAAAGACGTGCATGTGTGGTCACCAGAGAGGATGGCATATATTTCTCTGAGCGCCCTACAGGTAAAGTCAACATTACCAGTGGTTAAGAATTTCCATTATTGGTTAGACAAGAAGCTTCATTGGCTTAGGAGGAGTGTTTCTGGCACTGCACTTTCTCCGATAGGCCTCAGACTTGGTACTGATAAAAATGACAGCAATGAAGATTTCATCATTTTCACATAGTAAGTTATTTCTCATGGACACTTTCTTTAAGCCCTTCTCGAGTAAGCCAACTGTTTGACACCACAAAGAATAGAATTTTCTAGGGGCCAAATGAAGGTCAAATAAGTATGCCTCAACACTGATGTCCACCAACAGATTGGCTATATGACCTTAAATAGCTGCCTCTATTTAGTTATAGGTGTGTGGCAGTGGAGTGACAGTCTTTCATGACCTTAAAAATACATGGCATCTGTTTTTCTTGCTGCGGGTCCATGTCTATAAAGCAGCAGGGGTAGGATTTTGAGAAGTAAGAGACATATAATACACATGTGCATGACCCTGTGCGAGACTCAGTAGGCCATCGGCGAGAGGAAAATGCCATTACTAATTCTATTATTATTTTTGCAAACTAAGACAAGTCCAGTAATGGTTTTTAAAACGCTGGACATGGTGGCTCACACTAGTATTACTAGCAGTTGACAGGCTGAAGCAGAAGGGTTGACATGAGTTCAAGGCCATAATGGGCTACATGAGTGAGTACTATGCCACCAGGACTTAAAAGCAAGACTTGATCTCACGACAAAGCAATACAGCATCCCACATACATGGAAGGCAAAGTCTCTCTCATCTTGGGTATGTGGGAGTCCATCACCACACAGAGACATAGCAAAAGAATGCCTTTAGGCATACACAAAGCTCTCCTCGGAAACCATTTCTTAGTCTGCTTCATACTTCAAAGAAATAAACATTTAAGCTGCAAAGCTCTAGACTTGGATAGCTGAACCTAAAAGTATTGTAAATATTAAATTTTCAAAGTCAGAATTTCTAATATCCACCTAAACCGTACCACCTAAATAAACCCTAGCATGTCCTGGGTTTAATGAGTTAGAATTTGAACCTCTAAGTTATTATAATAATTGCCCTTCTTTATTTAAGTCACTGTAATAGAAACTCTGTATCAAAAATAATTATCAATTTTGAGGCTGAGTCACTATTAGTTTATAATGAAACCATATCACCAAGAAGCAGATACCTGTCTTCAGCAGCCCAGGGATGTGCCTGTCAATCATCTAAAAAGGTTTAGGTACAAAATGAATTCAGAACTTGGGCATAGCCCTGAGTTACCATCTGACCTGTAATGTATTATTTCTCCTCCTGCTCCACACAGTGCAAGTGTGTGGTCCAGAGCAAAGCTGCAGGGCCCTTGGGTGACTGCCTCAGAAGTGTCCATGTTTGTAGCTGTCTAGAGAAAGGATTGGGATGTTCTGGCTTTCTTTTGGTCCTGGAAGCAAAGCTCAGTCCTAAGTAAGTGGGACATAAGTAGAAAGGCAAGACAGATTGACAAAAGATGTCGTTAACCACAGTTATGCTGGCTGTCATGAGATAAGCTTTGGACTAATGGCCAGAATTACTAAGTAGATTCCAGATGCCTAGATGTTGATGAATTCTTTCTGTTGCTGCTTCTGGGAAAGCAAAAAAAATAAATCTTTACATATCTGGATAGAGTCCTAAAGTCCTTTTGGTGTTACTCTGGGGACATATAGTTAGTTCTTACTGTGTGGCCTCACCAGAAACTTTGACTATTAAATTTTGTAGTCACAATTTCTCACCCTTCTTGAAAGTTGCAAGGATAGTATGTCTATTACATTAAATGTTTTGATTTCTTTTTCCTTCTGTTGTGTTCAGTGTTCAAGTAGCCACTTGTAGGCACAGTGACTAAAAATGCATTGGAAAATATTAGAATATAAAACCATCAAAGTTCAAATTTAAAAATCACTAATCCCAGTTTAGGGCTTTAGCCTCCTAAGATATCTAGTAGAAGAAGAAAACACCACTGCATATAGAGACAGGAGTCACATATATAACAGTAAAGGCTAGCGTAACAGAGTTTGTATCTATGATAGACAGGACAACAGTGTTCTGGATGGCAAACAGCAGAAAATGGTTTGAATTAGTTGTGGAATCTATTCTTATATGAAGGTTGAACAGTTTTGGAAATATTCTGGGGGCACTTGTAAATCTTTAAAATCATGTTGGTGACAATGCTAAATTGTAAAGAAGGGATATGTGTATGTGCGTGTACACGTGTGTATGTATATATATGTGATGTTTTGTTAAATTAGAGTGTCAGTGTTGAAATTCCTCCCCAAAAGACCATTTTAGTGCTGCATTTATGTTTTAGTTCTAGCAGTACTTTTACCTTTAAATGCTTCAGTATCTTGGA